TTTTCAGCTATAGATCGCGGCACTAAATGTTGATGCCATTGTTGTCCGTACTTTCAGCAGTGAAGGCTGTTATAGCGTTAATCTATTCGTGAATGGAACGACAACAAAGTAATGCAGGTTTTGCATAATACCCTCTGGTTTTTTTTTACTTTTTCGATTCAGTACCACAATTCTGATATGAAAAAATGCCTTATTATTGCGAGACCACTAGCCGCTCTATAGCCAAAAGGTTCTCTCATCAATGTCCATGCTTGGTGCAGTCCGAGGCTGTTAATCCTCCCTCAAGGTAGTACTCGCATGGTGGAGGAAAGAGATTAGGGAGTGGTGGTTCCTCCCTAAGCACTCGGCCTGGTGAAGCAGCCTTAGCGTTCAACTTCGGAGTTGGGATCGCAGCGTTGCCTTCACCAAAGGCAAGGAGTCCAGTCATAATCACGACAATGGAGAAGCGTATTTTCATCCTTGAACAAACTTGGAACGAGCTAATAGGTCTGGCTTGATCAGTGTGCACCTGGAAACAAATTGCAAAAGTGAGCTGAAGTGTAGCGAATCGGCTGCTGGTGTCAATGTTTCATGAAAACCACATAATCGGAGTGATGATGTGGTTGTAGTGGCGGTGTCAACAATTCACCATTCTAAGAGCAGCGTAAGCATATTTTTGTAACTTCAATCTTTTAAGATATACTCAGCCTGTACGTCTTAACCATTACCCGCTAACTTCATATCGACCCAGAGAACAACTAGAGCTGTTTATAAAAGAGCTGAGAGCTGTAAAGATTTAAATCTGTGAAATGCTCTTCTCTCACCCAACAATTGTGCTTACACCCCAGACACCTTCGCTATTCACGAAACACTGGTGTTTCGACGTGCTAACACAGGTTACTAGGATGTGACTACGGTGCCGGACGTGGCACACTAGCAAGTATGCGTTTGCTGTTGCGTCTAGCGCCAACTAATATTCAGGTGTTCAAGATCCGCTGCGTGGTCTTTTGTAAATGTCTATAGTGAAAGCTCCACGTAAAGCAACGTAAAACATTTTGACATTATCTGGTTGATCCTGCTGAGCATGGCCTGACCTACTTACCAGCAGCAAACACAAAAGTTTGCGCTACGCTGTTTACTAACGACGACAGACTCTCGATAAATAGACTACCTTGCTCATTTCCAGTTTGCCTTCACTTGAGCAACCCCCCCCCCTTCCCGTCTGCAGAATGCGTCTACGCTACTCACTCGCCGCGACTATGGCTGCTCTTGTCGCCTTGAGTGAAGGAATTAGAGCGAGCCGTGAGGCAACCTCGCTTAACCAAGTCAACGCGGATCGCGGCTTCGATTTCGCCGAAGATGACCACCTCCGGGTCAGATCCCTCAGGGGGAATCCCGAAAAACCCAGCCAATTCTATCACGACACGCATCCTTGCGAAGTCTGGCTCGATGGGGGTAGCAAAAACAACTGTCCGTGAAATGAGACCTGTCGACGGTGCCTGGCCATTAGCATTTTCGCGTTCACGCTTAAATTTGCAATACACCGGATGAAGTTATGGTTACGGTCACAGAAAAAACGTGCTAATCCTGGATCAAAACTCGCTTCTCTTTGTTGTCGTGACATATTCTTACAGGTACACGAACCCCTAAAACGGCGTCATGGATTTAATCATGTGCGAAACGCATCGAGTAAATCATAAGCAGCTTATGTTGTGGCTAGAAACAATAAGGACTCAGTATCCCGCTTAAGTTGCGTACAGTAATTATCCGGGACTAGCACTCCACCATGTTGTACTGTTGCCAAGTGTTTGTTATCTCTCAGGCCACTTATTGTGCAGTTGAAATTTCGAATAGATAATGTTGCTATCTGATGATGGTATTTTTTGCTTTTTGGATTGATATGTTTGATACTCTATCTGGTGGGCAAAGCACAATTTAACCTTCATAGAGTGAGCGATTCGGGATGAAATGCGTAGCGTGTGCAAGTGTTGAAGGTTCCACAGTATCTGTGAGAGCTCGCTACTAAGCCCAAAATGCATGTTCGGATTTGTCATTTTATTGTGTTTCCATACGTTTCAATTTTTCTATTCGTTTTCGCATTCGAGCTTTTGAAAACAAAATGTGTAATATAACCCATTTTCCAAACGTTCCATGAATAGATTCTGATTCGTAGATGTGTTTTCCAAGCCATCTTCTTTCTGATCCTGTCTGCTATTCGCATGACTAGATCGCGATATCACCTATTATGATAAAAAGGAGACCCTAGTATTACCCAGCCCGTATTATGCCGGCAAACGTGCTCGATTTGCAACGTGAGCCTGGCTCATACTTCGAAGTAAGCTGTTGCCACACACTCAGCTCAATGCGTCGGATCCCCTCTGTTGGGTTCAGTCATTTTTCAATTCGCCTTCCTCCTCTCCAGTACCTGACGAACCAGCTTAACGATGCGTCTCGGCTACCTTCTGCTTGTGACAACCATTGGTCTTCTGGCATGTGAAGATACCCTTGCTGCTCTATCCAAATCTCAGAGCTCGAAACTGACTGCTTTCAGCAACCTGGCAGCCCATGAACAAGTTGGCGATTTAAACGGTAACCGTGACAACAAGCGCGCTCTTCGGGTTGCCAGCAAAACAGAAGAAGCTGACAGCAGCGACGACCCTGCTTCTGCCAAGGACCTCACCGACTCGGACGATGAAGAAGAGAGAGATCTTATTATTTCGACTTGGGATCGTCCCAAATACCGGCGTTGGTTTCATGATGGAATGACCCCTTACGACGTCCAGCATGTGCTGGGTTTGACTGGCGTGAGACGTCTCTGGAAACCCATCAAAAGACGTGTGTACAAAGGCTACGTCGTGTACTACACGGAGAAATGCAACAAGGCGAAGTACCATGACTTCTGCAAACAGCACGCTGACAAGTAGAATACGAAACCGCCTGGGAGTCAGAGAGAAATTACACTGTAACTCAAAAGAATTACATGTATTTTGCTCTAGTTTCCGATTTGATTCGTGTCACTCTGGTTGGACTAAAATGCCAGAAGGAGGAGATCGAAGTTGGTACATGTATTTTCTCCTGTTTGAAAATTAAGTAGTGCCTTCGGCTTGAAGAAGCTCTGAAATTTAGAATGCATATGAAAGAAGCCCACTAATAGTGTGCAGGTAAAAAAAAAGTAATATATCGCAGATTATGCAAGCACTGTAGGTTTCCCTCTATATTCGCCCTCCCGTTCGGTTTACCGCACGTTCGGCTTACCGATCCTTTGTTATAAAGCAAAGGCTACACACTGAAAAACAATTTTCTTTTACAATACCAGAAAGGGTTTTTCTCAGATCGAGTCTGCTTAGTAGTACTAGTATATGCGATTCTGAACGCTTCAAGTTCATAAAGCAAGCGCTGACAATAACAAGGCACGCCCCAAAATAACACTACTTGTATACACCGCAACGTCGATGGCAAAACATGTAGGTATCAGAAGCCGAGACTAGGTACATACACGAAAGCATCTCAAGGACGCTTTCTTTTTCTTTACACACGCGAAATATTACTTTCGATTAAGTCGTGACCGAAATTTCTCTCACTCGATAGAAACTACGGTGTGGCCAGCCTCTTCTTCTCCTCTTTCCTCTTCTCCATGGCGGTGTAGAACGAGAAGTAACCGAGGTAAAGCTGCTGGAGTTGCCTCGCAACCTTGTTCATTTCCGCTTGGGAGACGCCCAACACCGTCTTAACTTGCGTCGGCGTCAGCTTGGCGTTGTACCAAGCACGGTAACTAACGGTCCACACTGCGCGGTCCTCCTCATCAACCTCACTGAGAATATCTGCAACCGAACGCTCCTCCGTGCTGGTCGTGTGGCTTCGCAGCGAACGAGCGAAGCCCTGGTTGTCGTTCACCGAGTTGACAGCGTTTGAGGTCTCAGCAAGCGCGTCAGTGGAGCTGGAAATGAGGGCAATCACAGCCACCGCAGCGACGAGAAAGAAGCGCATGGCAAAGCAATAGGGTTATTCAAAGGGGGAGAATTGCTAACTGATGGCTATTTCATCCCCCTCGACGAGGTTCACAGCTTTGATTCGAGGGCCTCGTGTCGAACAGCAAAGCCCGTGAACAGGGAAAGAGGGCAGATGGTCGATTTGCTTATCTTCGAGATGCACAAAAACCTTCCGTATGTGTTGCTGCTAAAGGCAGCGTGACAGCCTTGATCTGCTGGGGCCATCCCAGCTGTCCATGAAGGGATTCGCTTCGAGTCGAAGAGCTCCAGTCGACTGTCGAGCCGGAGTATGATGGCTTCATGAAGTACAAATTGCATTCATCCCACATCAACTCACTGGAAAGTCAATGACGTCCATACAGCCTATGTTGGCTTATATATCTTTATAATTTGAAATACTTCTTCAGAAACGTTTAATCTATTTACCTGTAATAGTCTATATACCGTTAGAAGTATATATTTTTATCGCCATTGTAACAAACCACCATTCGTGTTTACGAGTAGAACCTTTAGCATCGACACAAAAATCCTCTGTGCGTAAGCGGCAATGACCGACAGCATGACGGAGGAGATCCTCTTCTCGCTCGCGCGCACGTTCTATCCGTTGGCCAGCAGCGAGCAACCAACAAAGCGCGCGCTAACCAGCGAAGACAGCGGCTCCACATCGGACGAGGCGGCACCGAAGAAGAAGAAGAAGGGCAGGACGCCCAGCCATGTAGCCAAGAGGGTTGGTATCAGTTACTTAACTCTAAAGTAATCATTCTGTAATGTGCTTTTATGCTGTTAATTAGGAGGAGAAGAAGCATTTACTCAAGGAATTAGCATTCCTGGAGACTCGAGCGGCGTTACTTCGTAAAGACGCAGGGATTCCAGACCCGAAGGAGGTGGCAGCTACTGAGCACCAAGTTGAGGTTAACCGCCAGTTGAAAGAAGCGATTCAAATGCAACAGAACGCGATGGCTGCAGCTCAGTCGGCTTTTGCAGAATTTTCAGTGAGATATTGACAGTAAATTAGTAGAAAAAAATCTGGGATGACTAAGCAATATTTCTTTTTTTTCCAGACTCTGCGAGGACACAATCCTTTGGAAAGTTATATCCATCTGAGCAAGGATCCTTCTGCACGACGGTCGCAAGTTTGCGCATTGAAGCACCAGTACCTGCAATGTGCGATGCAGTTTTTGAAGCAGCGAATGGAGCTGGCAACCAATCCGAATCGACCTTTCTACGAGGAGTCCGGGCACTTGACGGATGAAGGACATTACATCGCTACACGGCTGGACGTGCACCAGTTTGTAGGTGTACAGAGTGTCAAGCAAGTGTTCGACGCGTTGGAATTTTACTTTTTCAACCTGGAAATCACCACAACTGAACTGGGTGAGGACCTGACAATCAGAGAAGATTCGAACGACCTGGATAGTAGCAAGAACCCCATGCTACACCATCGTCTA